TTGTATTTGCGTTATTATCTGGCAGCTACATATGACGAGTTTTATCTTATTGAATTTTGCAGAAAATGCCAGGATTGTTCTACATTGTGGGAGGGAGTTTTGACTAATTACAGTAAAAAATATACAATACAACAAATTAATAAAAGGAAAGGATCGCCTCATATGCCATTCTGCTAAAGCGGTTCAGCAATATTTCCACTCACGCTACGAGTGCTTTTGAAGCTGGGCATTGCGCCATGTATGGATTCTGCGCTGTGTGTATATGCGTGTCAAAAATGTAATTATCAAGTCGCTGATAATCAGTGCATCTCCACTGATAAACTCCACCGATCATTCTTGCATCTGAGCAAAATCTGTACATATAAAACAAGCGCTGTACAATTATCATTATCAGCATTATAATAATTCAGTATCCATTATAACCACTTTGATGTTGCTGCTGTGGTGGTGAAATGGTGCGATGATAGCTTTCGGTTGTCGTTGTTACTTCGTAGGTGCGATCCTGGTTTCGACGATGTCGCGCTGCAGCAGCACTGGGCCCAGCCACAACCGGTTGCGGAATATCTTCTTCATACACTCTAAAATCAATTTAGTTGTTTCAAAAAAAAAATAGCTCGCTTGTCAAAAGAGGTACTCGAGAAGTAGCTCGAGGGGCAACATGCTTCAACAGCAACCACTCGCTGACAGAACTCTTCATCGTTTCAAATGTGCTTGTAACCAGTCTGATCTCGACACTGCCAGTACCAATTTACTATCGTAGCTGGTGAACGACTGTAGGCTATGAGGTTGCTCACTGGTGAAGTTGAACCTTTATCTTTAAAGTTGCTGATTATTAATACGTAGCGCTACAACCTGTCATAAACGGACAAATGAATATCACTGTGTTTTATACCACATTAGCACTTAAAAATTAATCAAAATGCTGCATACGATTTTAAACATCATTTCTCGTGCAAAATTTCTTTCAGTACAGGGACCCTTGTCACCTTTATATTTGAAGTATGCTCATTCTAACACTTGTTATGCCATGGGGCATATATATCAGAACTCTAAGCAGAACAAAACTTACGTATATTCTTCCTTCAGTGATGGCGCCCGTACTCGCGGCAGCCGAAACCATTGGAAAAATGGACTAACACGTTCTTCAAGTAGCATTGGTCTTTCTGCCAAGTAATGATAAAATTCTTGGAAGCACAGGACGGAATAGCACTAAAGAACAAGCTTCCTGGTCATTTTCAATAAAATATAAGATCAGTGAGGGTGAAACTTGTGACATGTACTAAATGAACGTGCGAATGCGTTGTCTTTGTTTCATCCCCTAGCTGAGAACACAGATAAAGCTTGTTTTTATGCGTTTTTTGCAGCTATACAATGCGAAAAACGCACATTGACGAGAGGTTGTCTGTGTGTGTGTGTCTGTGTGTGTTATCTGTGTGTGCGCTGCGCGTCTGTACCGATTTTTCATCTCGAGACCCACAAATGCTACAAGGCTAAAACTTTGGGGGCTTAATCTACATGCACGTATGGGCCCCCATCCTCAAAATGGGTAGTCTTTCCCGCGTGGTACCCACGTAAGAGTCCGCCAAAGTTTTTTAGGAGAAAGCTGCTAACTCGCGAACCAGAAAAGCTAGAGAGCTGAAATATTATGGAAATGTTTCCGGTCCAAGTAGGTACTAATGAGCTCAAAAACAACCCCCAAGTAAGCGTGGTACCCGCGTACGGGCCCGCCAAAATTTCACCCGGGTAAGTTCATAACTCGGGGATCTGAGACGCTAGAAAGCTAAAATTTTAAGGGAATGTTTCCCGCCCAAGTAGGTACTAATGAGCTCAAACCAACTCCCAGGTAAACGCAGTACCCGCCGCAAGGGCCCGCCAAAATTCTCCTCGGGCGAGTTCGTAATTCGGGGACTCGAGATGCTAGAAGACTGTAATATTAAAAGGATGTTCTCCGTCCACATTAGTCTCAACGAGCCCTCGGTCATGCGTGGTACCTACGCACCGGTTCACCAAAGTTTTGCTCGGGTAAATTCATAACCCGAAAACCTAAAAAGCTAAGAGAATGTAGTTTTAGGAAGATATTGCCCGTGAAAATAAGTCTCAACGAGCTCAGATCCAGACATCGGGCATGCGTGGTACCCGCGTGCAGGCTTGTGAAAAATTTTTTCCAATAAGTTGCTAGCCCAGGAGCCAGGAAAGCTAGAAAGCTGAAATTTTAAGGGGCGTTTCCTGCCAGTTTTGGCGGCCAGTCTTACTTTGTTTAGCTAGAAGGATCTGCCGAAAGAACCGATGCCGGAAGCGACAAAAACTGCGGGGAACTATGCAAAAAACGCATCATCGCACGGACAGCCCGTGCGT